CTACCTGGAGGGTAGGACTCACTTTTGATAGAAGAGCAAAGCCTTTTTGTTTCAAATTATTAGCTGTGGGTCAACAAATATTTAACTGAACATGTTATGAGGGACAAAGCACTGGGACATAGAATCTTAAGTTACTAGGTCATCTGCTCCAACACCTAATCTTTCTGGAATCCTCTCTACATCATCTTTGCTGAGCTCATATCTAACTCTGCTTGAAAGACTATTACTGAAGCAGCCCCTTCCATAGTGAACATCTTTTAAAGAATGTTCTCAGACGTGGAGCCCAACTCTGTGGCCCTAGGGCCTCTATTTAAGGGGCCTCAATACACCCCTTGGAACAGAGCCTTGCTCTAAGGCGCTAATTGTATTCCCCCTTTCACAAGCTAAATCTCCCCCAAATCCTTCAAATATTCAAATTTTAAGTTTCTTCACATATTTTTTTATGCCTCAATTTGTTTCTTATTTCAAAGTATGGCTTCCAGGAATGATTATAACACTCCAAAATCTTATGAAAGGCGATGAAGTATCATCTCCCTTGGGATAACATTACTACATTAATTAGTTGTCTCAAGGGATGATAAGTTCTTAATTTAGTATGTGCCCAATGTGAAAAATAAGAGAATGCAATTTTCCTTCCAAACACAGGCTCATGTGACAGAAATGAGACCAGAAAAGAAAAGAACATCCCTCTCTTATCCTCAAATTAGTATTCAACTATAATGCTTATGACTGAAGGATGAGATATACATGTTTTTTTCACTGCTTTTGATTTTCTAGTTAAGTCTTGGAAGTATTATTATACTTGCATTAAAACACATTTGTCTGGCCTAGCCAGCACAGCTCAGTAGTTGAGCATCGACTTAGGAACCAGCAGGTCACGGTTTGATTCCTGGTCAGGGCATATGTCTGGGTTGTGGGCTCAATCCCCAGTGTGAGGCGTGCAGGAGGCAGCCAATCCATGATTCCCTCTCATCATGGATGTTCCTACTTTCTCTCCCTCTCTCTTCCTCTTTGAAATCAATTTTTTAAATAATAAGTAAAAACACACAGACAAAAAAAAAATCTCTCTGGACTATGGTTGAGGAAAATAAGTAATCAATTCTAGTTGAAAGGGCAAACCCCAAAGGAGCTTTTCCAGAGCTAATGTGGCTGGTTTATATATATATAATTTAAAAAAAGATGTTTGGGTTTTAGTTGGAACACCAATTCAAAATCATAACTGGTATTTATTCAGAATAATTCATCACATGAAAGTGGATGCTGAATCTGGAAGAATTATGAAATGGCTAAAAGGGGAAATGAGGCAAATCATTAATCTAACACTGGAAGTCACTAGTGTCCTCCAAGGACATATATTCATGAACAGAAAATGCATCCAGTTTTTTATTAAATTCTCCCTCCACCCTCTCAGAAGTCTTTATTGCCTAAAATAATCCTAATCCAAATATCTAACTTTGGCCAGTGGCTTTTACCAAATCCTAAATCAGAAATTATGACATCAAATCAATCCATTTGGCTTTCTTTTTTTTTTTTTTTTTTTTTTTTTTTTTTCCTGCCACTTTACCCAAGAAGAGATGAGAACATGAAAGACTAAAAGGGGAAAAGTAAGGCCAGAAAAAAGCTAATAGGTAGGCTAATCTAAATAATCCACAGAAAGGGCAATTGGCCTTATATAATCAAAATTAAATGTTAATATAACTCAATACCTCTAATAAAAGCATATAACGTAATAAAAATCATTGCATAGGTAAAAGAGAAAGCACAAAATCCTTTGATGATGCAGTCGACACAAAGCCATAATAAATCATTAATAATCATCAAACTGTATGATTTCACAGATGTTCCCAAACCTGACACCATGACATAAATAGGATACATTTTTATTGGGATGTATTTAGTAACTTTATTAAAAGAAGAAAAAGATCACACTGAAAATGGAAACAGACGTGAAATCTGATAGTCCTCAAATTAAACCAAACTGATTTATGAGAAAGTAACTCTCTTTTTCAATCACCATTAAATGAGAATTCTTTTGTATTTAAGAAGAATCATCTTAGCAAATATTGCCATGACAGTCAGAATTAGAAGGCAAACCAGTAAGTTTAGGTCCTGGCCTGGATTAAGAGGACCACATTTAATTAGTGTCCTTTCTCAAGTTCTTTTTGAGAAATTTCTATTTAACAACAAAAAAAAAGTTCTTTTTGGCACTAAGTTATTTATTCAACTACTCTTATTAAACACCTACCATTTTATCAGGGATTATTCTCAAACTTGAGCTACATTAGTGAATAAGTGTCCATAAGGCCTAATCTAGAATTTACACAACTAGAGATTTAAAAAAAAAGAAGAAAGCCCTACATTCTCATCTGTCCTGCTGATGGGCCATGGATGGGTGACTGTACATTACAGAAAGGCTGGAAGGTTAAAGGGAAGGAAGAGGCCAAGAGCAGACCTTCTAATCCCCTTCTAAGTGCAGCCAAAAGTAGATAGGGGCAGGTGAATAAGAATTGCAGATGCTAATGAACAACGTAAACTGATGAACAAAAACAGATGCAGAGACAGAGAAGCATCAATCAGACCATCAAACCTCAGAGGGAAGGTAGGGGAGGGTGGAAAGAAGGGGAAGAGATCAACCAGAGCACTTGCATGCATGCATATAAATATTATCAGTGGACACATACACTAGAGGGGATGAGTGCATGAGCAGGGGCAGGAGGATGGGGAGAGAGGGGCAATGGAGACATAAGGACACATATGTAATACCTTAATCAATAAAGGGGGGAAAAATAATTTCAGATGCTAGAATGACTAGAAGCTGTTATTTTATACAAATGTGTCCAATCTAATAAGGTCCTATCCTCTAAGTTCACAAAGCAACTTTATTTTCAATACACTTGCTATTGTGAGACAAAGTTGGGTCATGATGTCCTATGGTAACTTGATGTTTGATCTAATTAAAAGATAATAAATCTAAATGTAGAGACATTTCCTTACAGTTTAAAAAGAGAAGTTCTGCCCACCCTGATCAACTTGTTTCTGAATACCTTTAGTTGCTGGCTTAGTGGGGAAGATGGAGATGGAAAGGCAACAGTTATAGATTATTTTGGTTGGTGTTTATTAAAATGATTTTTCTTTCTTGTAGAGAGAAATTCTAAAATAAAAACATTTTAAACTTCTGGGATCTCTCTTACCCCTACAATCAGCACAAACACAGTAGGGCCAACCAGTCCAAGTCCCTTAAAGAATACTATATAGTTCCCATGTGCAAGAGGTGGATCACTCTGAAACAGGCTAGAGAATGCTAGAAATGCTTTATCAATACCATCTCTACATGACTCATTTCTTTAAAATTAGCTTTCAAACATCAACCTATCGGGACCGAGATTGCCACCATCTACAGAAACAGTTTAATTGCATATTATATCCTTATCCCATTACTCATCCCTCAGTTATGCTAAGCAGCAAGCTACATAAACATCTGACAGCATCAACAATGTACAGGTTTAATTATTTTCCCAATTTGCATTTATATCAGTGAACAAATTGGAAGGTATCAAAGTATGGCACTGAAGACATAATACATATTCAGCAGCATGTCTTCCATTTTTGAATCCTGGTTTAAAATTGGCTAAGTAAAGGCATATACACCTCCATTTGAATTGGAGATTTTTCAGTAACACATGCATCTAAAGAAAGGAGGGAGTTGGGGAGAGGGAAGGAGGAAAGAAGAGAAGAAGGGAGAGACCAGAAAAGACAGAGAGGAAAAGAGAAAAGAAACAAGAAAGAAGGTATGGTCTGAAGGGGACATTACTTCACAAAGGAGGTGACAAATGACAATTGAACCAGCTTCCGCAAGCAGACATTTTCTAAGGTTGTCGTCGAAGATACAAAAATGGTTCATGAGAGTTTTCATCTGTTGCTATTTTCACTTATACTAAAAACCTACAAAACCCCAGGCCTTGGTCTGTCCAAGAAAGTACCAGAAAGAGAGAGATATGACCCGCTCAAGGGTTGTGCTCTGCAAGGAGCTCTGTACTGCAGTCCATGAATCCACAGTATTTTGGTCAGATCTGGTCTGTTTCCTCACACGTACTCATAGAGTCTTACAGATAATCTTTTATATCAGAATATTATTATCAACCATTCTTATTTCCATTTTTTCAAATTTTTTCACTTACTCAAAGGGCAGGAAAGATGAGAAAATAGAAGAGAATGGTAAGATTTAGAGGGAAACATGAAAGGAAAGTATGCTCTTTTCCAACAAATCCACTAAAGTATAACAAGACTTTGAGAAAGAGTGCTGATTCATGGACTTCCCTTAATTTTTTTTTTTATTTCTATGAAATACACGTAAGGACATCAATGTACTAAAACATTTGGTCTGTGAAATAGCGGAATCATTAGCACCAAAAGGAGTCATGAGCTTGTATATATCATTAAAACAATAAATGTTAATTCTTGGTCATGGGTAAAGGTATTTTTCATCTTACATCTCAAAGTTCTTGAAAGTGCCTGTAAATAAGAGAAATAACACTTCAAACTCTCCATGGGGTCATCGACACGCACCACAGAGACAGTACTTGGCCTTCCCAGTTCTGGTTTCTCCGGTGGACAAGAAAACCAAGGTCCCCAGGAGCCCTAAAGAACAGCCCCCACGTGCACCCACTGGTGTGCAGGAGGGATTCCCCTGGACTGTGTTCAGGAATGCGCTTTTGCTTGCTTTTTTTTTTTTAAAGAAAAAACAAAAGCAACATGCTCTGCAGGTCATGGAGCACCTAGTGCAATCGTCTCCTTGCTCTGATTCCAGACTGCAAAAGGACGAAACCATTATATGTTCTGCTAATCCCGGCCTGTGGACTAGGCCCTTGGCCTGCCATGCTTGTAAACTCAGGAGTCAGAAGGTCTGAGAGCGGGAGCCATCATCATCGCCAGATCTCCCCAGCAATGTGTGGCCCATTGGTACAGTGGATGATTCCTCTTGCTTCTCCTTGCCTTGGCCTTTAGTTGAAGTTACAACAAGTCAAATAGCTGATGCTTTTCCCTTCCCCAGGTAAGGGTGATGATACACTGTTCACAAGGGTGTTCTGCCTGGCTTCCCTGATGAGGCGACACGCCAAGTCAAGGAAGAGTTTCTCCACGTTATCCGATTCCTTGGCTGAGGTCTCCAGATAATACATGTCCTGGGCTTCTGAGAATTCTTCTGCTCTCTGCTGGGAGACCTCTCTCCTTTCAGCCAGATCAATCTTGTTGCCTGAAACAGTGGTAGAATCACAGACAGAATCATCATTTGACTTTTTGCAGGCTTGGAAACAGCAAAATTCAATTCCTAATCTGAAGTCAAACCAGTCAGATGGGTTTGTAAAGCCAAATAATGGGAGTATAATTATTGGAATGTTTATTTTAAAATACCAGTACCATATGTAATGCAAAGGACTAGAAACAGCCCAAATGTCCATCATTCTGGGCACTGGCTAAATACACTATAATAGACCCATAGTAATTTGTTACTGTGAAAAGCAATAAGGAACATGTCTATATATGCTGCCAGTTGAGATACTAGGATATATTGTTAAGTGAATAAAGCAAAGTAGAAAAAAGTAGTGTATAACATACAACTGTATATCTAAGAACAAGGATGAAAAATATACACATAGTTTATTTGCTTATTTTTTAATGGGACAATAAACCATAATCTTAATTTTAAAGATAATGATTACCCATTAAAAAAATAAAGTTAAGCCTGGGTTAGCATGGCTCAGTGGTTGAGTGTTGACCTATGAACCAGGAGGTCACAATTCAATTTCTGGTCGGGGGTGTGCAGGAGGTAGCCAATCAATGATTCTCTCTCATCATTGCTGTTTCTATCTCTCTCCCTCTCCCTTCTTCTCTGAAATAAATAAAAATATAAATATATTTTAATAGGGGTAAAGAGGGCTAGAAACTAGAAACTCTCTAAATATACCTTATTTTATAGATTTGACTTCAGAATTTTATAAGTGTTTTTACATAATTAAATAATTAATTTTAACTATACAATTAATATGGAATTAAATTTAAAAAGCAATTCCTAAAGTTGAAAGCAAAATTACACAAGTGAACCTGTTTATATAGCATAACCACACAGAGAAACAAGTTCAGGTGAGTTTAAGAGACCATAATTTATGCATCTTTAGTCACATATACCCCAAGAACAAAAAGAATTGAAGGAAAAATCTTAAATTCTTGCAGTAATCATCTTGTCAGTGGTAGTGCAGGCATTGTTATTCTGAGGCTGCTATGAATGTTTGTTGGGGATAAAGCAAGTGAGTGGTTGTGCAAGTGTCATTGGGACAGGGATTTTTGTCATGAGAAAAAGTAAATACAGATATAAGATTAACAAGGTTAAGAAAAATTGCTGAAGTTCTAAATTATAAATGGAAGTAACCACATGAATAATTCATGGTGTATTTTATCTTTCCAACAATTTACCTGCAACTGAAACAGTTGCCCTTGACTGGGAATCAAACCCCAGACCCTTTGGTCTGCAGTCCGGTGCTCTAACCATTACTCAACAGGTCTGGGCTAAATGGATGTATTTGTTACCATAGAAAATCATGGGTTGTTTTCTGTTTTCCCCCTCATGCAAAACAGAGGTTTACTCTCCTACAAAATGAAATAAACTGCAGAATTTCCCTTAGTGGATTCTTTCTGAAAATTAAGAATTTCTCACATTAGCATAAATGCAAGAAGGGACAGAATTAGCCAAAGTCCATTTTTTAGGCAAAAAAACAATTGCTTCAATAATGAATTTCTTATCAACTTAAGAGGTATATTTTACTTTTAGACCAGCAGTTTCATGATCTCGTAATTAGATTTAAAATAATGGTTATCAGCCCACATAATTTCACGGCAGTCTATCTCTTCTTCCCTAGAGCCTCCATTGATAGAAAAATCAATCAGCAGTATTTTCTACTTTCCTTTTCTGAACCATCACCATGGGATAGGACTTATTTAATTTTCTCTTCAATTGCGGAACTGAATGCTGGCTGGCTGCTCGAATTATATAGCTGTAGATTATATTCTTGGAAGGCATCAGTGCTTTGTGTGATTATACATCCTCTGATGCCCAAAAATAAATTTCCTTTCTCATTAGTCCTTACTTACCCACTAGCACAGTGATGACCTTGTTGCTGGCATATTGTTCTATTTCCCGCAGCCACTCAGGAAGGCAGCGGAAGGATTCCTCACAGGTTATGTCATAGGTGAGGATCAAGGCATTGGCGCTTCGGTAATAACTCTGAGTAATGGACCGAAATCTCTCTTGACCTGCTGTGTCCCAGATCTGAAGCTGTAAAGGCATACAAGAAGGATCAGGTTGGAGAAGCAGAAAAGAAATAAAAGCATAGCTTGACTTTAGCCGAAATCGGTTTGGCTCAGTGGATAGAGCGTCGGTCTGAGGACTGAAAGGTCCGGAGTTCGATTCCGGTCAAGGGCATGTACATTGATTGCGGGCACATCCTCAGTGGGGGTTGTGCAGGAAGCAGCTGGTCGATGTTTCTAGCTCTCTATCCCTCTCCCTTTCACTCTGTAAAAAAAATCAATAAAATATATATATTTTTTAAAAAGCATTGCTTGACTTTAGTTTAGAAGTGGAAACACCTTCACCCAAATAATTTCATTGTTATTTTCGGCACTAAGAAAAAAAGCACTTACCTTTTTCTTTTTCTTTTTCTTTTTTTTTTTTTTTAATCTGTTGTGTGTGTCTTGTTAGGGATGGGGGCTTGCTTTGATTTGTTGTTGTTGTTGTTGTTGTTTTTGTGTGTGTGTATGTGTTTGTTAGATTATTTTTAAAGTTTTCCCTTTATTCTTTTTTTTCTTTTCTTTTTTATTGAATTGATTGGAGTGACATTGGTTCATGAAAGCATACAGTTTCAAGTCTACAACTCAACGAAGTATCATCTGCACAATGCATCATGCACCCATCACCCAATCAAAGTCTCTTTTCATCTCCATTTCCCCCCACCTTTTGCCCTCCACTACCTACCTCCGCCCCTGCTGGCTATCACCACACTGTTGTCTGTGTCTACAAGCATTTATTATGTGTCAAGCTCCATTCCAAGCATTTTACATGTAATAACTCAATCCTCACAATGACTATGAGGTAGGTACTTTTAACTGTATCCAATGCTCTCACATGGGGCACAAAGACATTAATTAACTTGCTCACCATCTCACAGCCAGTATGTTCCAGAGCCAGTCCCACTCGGCAGTTTGGTCCCAGAGTCCCTGCTCTTAATCACAATGCAATATTTAAGAGTCAGGATACAGGGAGAGCCGTCATTTAGCCAGCAATTGGAGAGGGAGAAAATCCAACTTCACCACCTTTTCCAGTTCAAAGTTCAAATGAATGTATTAAGGTATTATCTTTGTTCATAAAAACAGGAATGGTACCAAGGCAGAAAAAAAAATAATAATTTTCTTCCACCACTTTCAAGCTCTGTGACCTTGACCAAGTCACTTAGTCTCTTTAGGCTTCAGCAGTTTCTTTATAAAAAGAGGTTAATAAACCTGCTGAAAGTGCACATTTTCTGAAGTCATCTATCAGTTCTATGGCCTAATAAAATAACCAAAAAAAGAAAGGCAAAATGCTTTATTTCTTCCCAAATTTCCCTGCACAGAACAGAAGATACTGAAAGACAGCTATCCTCCAGAGAGACCGCTGAGTCATAACAAACCAGAAGACCTTCAGAAATAACCATGATAGTCTTCCCTTCTAATTGCATACATTTCACATGTCGAGCAATGCAATTTCACCCCCTATAAACAGAACATCCTTTCCTCAGAGAAGGCCTGGGCACCCTCGCATGAGGCAGGCTCCCCAGCCCCAGCCCCAGGCCCATATTCTCTCCTGCAACCCATCCTATAATTCTCATCACAGCACCCGACACATGTGAACCATCCACTTATCTGTAATAATTTGTTTATCAGGTGTCTGCCTCACTAAACTGAAAGCTTCACGAGGGAGAAGTCAGGGTCCATCTCACCCAGTTTTCCCTGCACCGGTGTGTCTGGCAAGTAACAGGGGGTCCTGATGGTGACTCACAAAGCTGGGACTCAGACTGCAGGCCTCAGCCTCACTTCAGGCCCCTGTGCTGTTTGCTCATGAGCATCGGCATCCAGCGGGGAGGAGGCAGGCGGGGTCACCCGCTGCTCACACCCCTTTGGCCGAGGCACAAAGGCTCTCTGATTTGGAGTTACAGCTGCTCTTTGATGGTGGACATGGAAGTGTGTGCGCGCTGAAGGCGACCATACAGATGTTCTGGCTTTTGCTGGGACAAAGGTTATTTTTTTCTCCCCTGCCCCAAACATACAGACATGGTTCCCCTCTGCTAGGACCTTAGAACAACAGACTATTGTTTTAGTGACTCACTGAGCCTCTAAAATCACTTGTGATGGGACGTAGCACTGTCAGTCATTAGAAAGCAGTGTGTTCTCATGACTGGCGCATCTTGAGAACAGCCTCAAGCATTAAAGCCACTGAAATATTTCCTGAAAGTGTAATTGCATTACCTATGAGAAGGATGCTTTCTCATAGGAGGCTACCCATTTCTTGAGGATATCCATATTTAATTGCCTTTATTTTTTAGCTCAGTTTCACCACTCTCTCTCTCTGCAATTCATTTGCTCCTTCTCAGCATTTATAGCTCAGTAATATATGCAGAGCACTGTACTAAGCACTGGGAGAATACAAAGATGAATAAAACACAACCCCTGATCTCAAAGAGCTCACAGTCTGTAGGAAAGATAAACACAATATTAACTGACCATAATAAAATATGAAATGTCCTTTTAAAGAGGCACCAGCAGGAGAAAGTTCCTCCTAGCATTAGTCTCATGCCAATCTGTTCTCATCGCCACAGCCACGGGTAACCACGCTCACCTCCAGCATGGGGCTAGGCTGTTCACGGGCTCTCTTCTCTACACTGCTTACACCTCTGTTGCCTCACCGTCACAATAACCTACTGCAATCATTGGTTTACTCGTGTGTCTCCTTACTAGACTGAGTTCGTTAAGGGCCAGGACTGTCTCTTACTTTATACCCCAGTGCCTTCCTAACACAATACATGGTACACGGTGGACACATCTGAATAATGGATAGTGTCCAAGGATTGTGGAATCACAGAGTAAGGGATAATTTTGTGTAGGGTATTAAAGATGTTTTCATAGATAAAATGTTTGAGCTAGATGATAATAAGTTACTAGGGAGCAAGGTGCTTTACCTAACACTGTGCTTGGAACAAAGCATCTACTATAACAGAGGACGTATAGATAAATGGATAGATGGGTGTCGGATAAGTAAATACATGTGCATGCTTTCAAGACTTTGCTTTCTATGCAAAATACACCTGATTAGAGGGGGTGAGGGGAGAATCTATTACTATAATTAATCTCCTAAAGTTAAAATATGGTAGACTAGCTTAGGACATTCCTTGAGGACTCCTGGACTGTGAGAGTGTGCAGGCCAAGCTGAGGGGATTCCCCCCCCCCCCCCCCCCACTGCACCCCAAAAGCAAGAATTTTTGTGCACCAGACCTCTAGTCTATTAGTGCTAGACTAAAAAAGATCAATGGAAAAGAGAAAATTCTGTATGCTTTAGTTACATTTTCTGTGCAAGGTCACCTTCATTAATGCAGAGCACCTTACAAAAAGGGCCTCTTCCTCAGTTTTGCTTTATTGGCTTGGCACTAAATAGCTATAAGAATCTTTCTAAAAAATTTTTATTTTCTGTCTTCAATTCTGGGAGCCATTCTAGAAAGAATGAGACTTGTAGGGGAGCATGGGGGGAAGTCAGGAGAGAAACCTCGTTTCTGGTCCTGCCCTGCCACTCGTGGATTCCGCACCGTTTCGGTTTCCCAGCTCTCCATCACTAATGTATTTGGTGTAAATGTCTGCAGTAAGGAGCCACTTGGTGGAGTCACTGCTGGACAACACCGGAGAGCTGTCCCCCACGTAGGAACCTCATCCTAACACTCCTCTGTGGGTCTCTGGAACGCTGCAGGAGCACCCTGGAGCTTTTCTGTCCTTCCCCAAGCATTTGAGGGCAGGAATGCAGGTGTATACGGGAGAAAGATGCAAATGTCAGGGACTCAAACTTGGAGTGCTTTGGCTGGGATCTAGCTGGGCTGCTGCCACGGTTTTCACTGTGCAGCTGCTGCCAGGGCCATGGAATCTTTCCATGGGCCTCAGCTCTGAAAGACCTGACAGTGGAATTTCACTAACTCAAGTCTCTCTATCCTCCTTCCGTGTGATTGATCTCATTCCAACCTTCCCATCACCTTCTTTCTTTCCTTGCTTCAAGGTGACAAGCTTGTTCTGCCTTCCTTCCCATCTTCTTTCATGGCAGGGGAGACCCCAGGGAGGCAGTGGGGTGATTCAGATCCTGCCTATCTCCCTCCTCCCTTCCTAACTGTGAAGCCACAGATAAGTAAGTCACTCAACCTCTCTGAAACCTATAAAAGGAAGATAAACCCTGGCTGGTTTTGCTCAGTGGATAGAGCGTCGGCCTGGGGACTGAAGGGTCCCAGGTTCGATTCCAGGTACAAGGGCATGTACCTTAGTAGGGGGTGCAAGAGGCAGCTGATCGATGTTTCTCATTGATGTTTCTAACTCTCTATCCCTCTCCCTTTCTCTCTGTAAAAAATAAATGAGATATATTTTTTAAATGAAGATAATTTTCTATATTTGCCTCACAACAGTTATAGTAAGGATTAAGTCAAATAGGAAGACATGTGCAGAATCAACCAGCAAAAAGACTGACACATATTGGGCACCTGATAGACACCATCTCCCTTCTCCTATTGTTGACACCATAGTTCTTACAGATTCCGAACTATCCAGAGGCCACAAAGAGGGAGAGGTCATGCATCCCTCCTGAACCTCTTATAGTATTTCTCCCTTGCTAGGAACAGGGGGATGATGGGAGACATCCCATCAAATGATCCATGTGACTGAATGACCTATAACCAGGGTAGGAATCCACTGGCTCTTCAAGGGGTTGCTGTTCGGAAGAGGTAGCACCGCCTCCTGGCCCAACTCAGGAGAGAGATCCCAACAAGAAATGCCTGCCTCGCTTTTAGCATCACCTCTGATGTGATGAAAACAGGACAAACTTGCCTTAGCCCTTCTTTCTCTGTCTTTTTTCCATCTGTAAATACATCATCTATAGCCCCTTCCTGCTCCCATAAAGGGAATGAGCTCTACTGGGAAATAAGCTGCTGTGACTGAGTGTATTATTTTCAATGAGGGTTTCAATTAGGAGATATGACAAGTGTTATGAAAACACCATTTCTTCTCACATAGCACAATAAAAGCTTTATTGAACACGTAGCATCTTACCTTTACTTTTTCACCATTAATCTCCACGGTCTTAATCATAAAATCAACTCCAATTGTGGCTCCTTGACCTGGGGGGAAAAGACCCTAAAGAAGAAATAATAGAAAATAATAATTAAGCAAATCTTATAATTACAGAAAAATTTCCCACGCCCACCACCACCAGTCCCTTCCTTTGGCTGAGTTAACCAGCAGAAAGAAGAACCCTAGTTAGTGTCCCCGGAGCCCTGTGTCATTTAACTTCACATGTATGTATGTTTTGAAGGAAAGAGAAAAGAAGGAGGAAAGGGGAGAGAGAAATTCTGAAAGGAAAGGAAAGAAATGGAAAGGGGGACAAATAAGGGAGAAGAAGACAGAGGATGAAGGAGAGAATCGGGAATGGGCAGAGGTGGAGATCTGGTTTCAAAAAAATGAAACAAAAAAATCAGACACAAACTAAGACTGAGTTGCATTGAGCCACCAGGATGAGATCAGGATTGTTAGGGGGAAGGCAAAAATGGGTGGGTTCTCTAAAAGAGGTAAAATCAAGGAAGATCCAAACTAGTTCTCAGTCTAGGGCATGGACATTCATGGAGGTGGACAACAATCTGAGAAACAACAGGAACACAGTAAGAGAAAAATAAACAAGACAATGAAGCTTTTTTTTTGGATTTCCCCCTGCCCTTAGGGTGATATATTATTGCATGAGGCCCAAGCCAACGACACTGGGAAGATAACTGAAGAAACCAGTCACTCAGGATTAAAGACCAATAGAAATAGCACTAAACCCGGAGATAACAGCCCAGGATCTCTGTTGACTTCAGGCAAACAATTACCCAATCTGGGCCTCAAATCCAGTGAGTTTGAAGCTGCTATAAGCGTTTCTAAACAAAACAAAAAAAAGTTTATCTCAAACTGGAAGCTACACTAGATTCTATCAAAATCACAAGTGTAATGTAATTGGCTGTTACATAATGTTTCCTGTAAGCTTAGGGAGGAAGTTCTACCAAGAAAGAACGTTTCACCTAGTTTCTCTTCCCTCGTCACTAACATTCCAGAATTTCCAGAAATTAAAGTAAAATGGATTTTATTGGCTCTGGCAGCTAAGATTGGGCCATCTTTAATTAAATCCATTCCTTAACAAGAGAAATCTTTAATTTATGTTTAATCTTAAAAGACTGAGCTTCAAAACAATAGAAAATGTTCCATTGCATGTCTGCAAAAGATGTAAACATAAACATTCATAACTTTACTTACAAATATTGAATCAATTTTCTTCTATTTTGGTTTGGCTCAAACACGAGGCTGCCAAGCTTCAAGCATACAGCTCCAGCTGTTTTGCAGGCTAACAAATGCCACAAAAGAAAACAAATCCTTCCAATGTCTTCTCCCCTCACTTTGCTCCCCAACTTCTCCTGCCTCAGAAACAGCTGAATCCAATTCATTTTAACTGCCTACTAAATAACAAAACCACACATAATCCTGTCTATGAAATATGAACTTTAGGGGGAGCTTAGGAACTGGGAGGGGTAAAAAGCACACAGAAATGAAAAATAAGGGGTGATGTGCTAACTAGTAAAAATCTGTTCAAAAGTGGAAGTTTTTTTTGTTTTGTTTTGTGTGTGTGTGTGTGTGTGTGTGTGTGTGTGTGTGTGTGAGAGAGAGAGAGAGAAAGATAGAGTGTGTGTTTTACCTCTAATGACAAGGCTTTTCCTTTAAAAAGATGCCTATGGTTTCAGAGGATAAAACATACGGACGATAAAGATGATCAAGCTGAAAACCAGGAGACCTGAGCCTAATACTAGCTTTGCCACTAACATTGATATGTGATACTAAGAGTTCATTTCATTCCTCTAGACCTGAGGTTTTCACCCATAAAATGAGAGGCGTGGGCACTTTAAAGGATCTTTCTGCAATAAGAGGTGGTCAAAGGAATGACTGAAAACTTCTCTACATTTCTGCAGTCTTGTCCTCCTGCCAATGTTGGGTGGAAGTAAAACCAGTTGGAGTTTCCAATATGACGCCCGTGTGGTTTTTGACTGAGTTTGTTACTTTTGATTTCACAAGGCTGAGACTGAGCAAAAAGCACGAGACCTATTGTGTTTATTGTAATGGGGGAAACCCTGACATTTCCAAAGGTGACTCTCTGTCTCAATGCTGTTTGCCTTATCCAATCTGCCTCTCCAAGTTTCCCCAGAACCACAGGCTGTTTTTGCTGTGAAGGGCCTTGAAGGACACCAGGCCCCTCATGTCCATCAGAAAGGCAGGTGGGGGGTAACCTACCCAGGCTCAGAGATGAGCCAAGGCCAGAGCTGGCACTAGGACCTGTGTCCTGACTCCCAAAGCAATGTCCTTTCCATGGCACCAGCTTGCTCTATGTCTCAGATAAAAGAACTAGTCTCAACTTTCCCAATTAGCACTTCATGAAAAATGCAAGATGCATGTATGATAATCCCAAAAAGGATGCCATTCAAATCTTTTTCTGGAAAAACACAAAAGAAGGTCAACCTCAGAACGATTTCCCACCATTTCTGTATAAAAACAAGTAAATAATCTCTGGCAATAATTCTCAACAGGGCAGCCCCAAGGGAAATTTGTACTCAGATCATAAGATAAGGGCTCAACCCACAGCAGAGATTTTATTTAGTTCAAGTAGTCCTTCACTATTCTCAATTCATTCCTCTTAACAGATCTAGAAAAATCAGCATATTTAGTTCTGAACCAAAACAATTCCCTCCATTTTCTGGGGGACTTGAGAATGCAATCTGATTGGTTTAATTTGTATTTGAGTTTCAACAGTTGAATATAAAAATCAAAATGAACGAACAAGAAATTTAATGAACAAAAGAAGCTGGTGAATAACATAGAATAAGAGGCATGGAATGGGACAGATGGACAGAGGAAGCAGGGAGAAGGGATGGGAAGACATTAACCAAAGATCTTATATGCATGTATGCATTACCTATGGGCACAGACTATAGGGTGGTGAAGGTGTAGGTCAGGGTGGGAACTGGATGAAGGGAGGCAATGGAGAGGGAAAGGGGACATCTGTAATCCTCTCAAAATAAAGATTTTTTTAAAAATATATTTTATTGATTTTTGTACAGAGAGGAAGGGAGAGAGATAGAGAGTTAGAAACATCGATGAGAGAGAGTCATCGATCAGCTGCCTCTTGCACACCCCCTACTGGGGATATGCCCGCAACCAAGGTACATGCCCTTGACCGGAATCGAACCCAGGACCTTTCAGTCCCCAAGCCGACGCTCTATCCATTGAGCCAAACCGGTCTCGGCTCAAAATAAAGATTTTTTTAAATTAATATTTAGGTTTAATATTTAGATATCTAGATTTATTTGTTTCCTCCTTTGAGTTATTATTAATTAATAATCTACTTATTAATCTAATAATTTGTTTTTTAAATCCTCACCTAGGGATATGTTTATTGCTTTGAGAGAAGAAGAAAGAGAGAGAGAGAGACAGAGAGAGAGAGAGAGAGAGAGAGAGAGAGAGAGAGAGAATTTATGTGAAAGAGAAGCATTGATCAGTTGCCTCCCATACCCACCCTGACCGAGGATTGAATTCACAGCCTAGGTATGTGCCCTGACCAAGAATCAAATCCAAAACCTTTTGTTGTAAGGGATGATGTTCCAACCAACTGAACCACCCGGCCAGGGCCTAATCATCTATTTTTAATGCTGCACACTAAAAACAAATTACTTGCCCCTTTTCATTAAAAGAAGCAACAAGACCATGGGAGGGTAGTGGTGACCCAGAGAGCCATGCTTCCTTGAGGTGCTTTAAAAGCTCTAGCCTAGGCTGCAAAGCTGGTGCTTTTCCAAATAGCGCGTTAACAACTGGCAGCCAAGAGGCTGGTGCAGGACTAGTCACCTGTCCTGTTATTCCTCCTAACCCCACAGGCCACACCGAGAAAGCCAACCCCGGACTTGCGAGTTCTCTTACCTGAGTGAATCGTCGGACTAGGCACGTCTTCCCCACGCCGGCATTGCCAATTAAAACAATCTTAAACAGGAAATCATAATCTTCCATACTCATTTACACAGCTGCAAGGCAAACAAACACAGGCAAGCGTGAGATGGGGCCTGGTCAGACTTGCCCGCAGAGCTGAAGCTGTGCCGGCCCTGTCTCCTCGGGAACAGCGGGTCTGACTCATTTGAAGAGCAATTTAATGCTCCCCTCTGGTGACTCTGCCGGTGAGAGGGGAACACAGGTGTTTGGTCACAGATGGACTTTATTCCTCCCCAGCCACTTCAGACCACAGAGAGCAAATGACACAGATGTTCTTTCACCTGGTAACCTTTACACTTCCAAGTAGTCAGGTCGCAGGTCGCTCGTGTGATAAGATGTGTTTTCACATGGAAAGGAGATCACAGATCTATGTGCAGAGAAGTCGGGGTGCAAGGCAGCAAGGCAAAGGAGAGCCCATCTCTTTCTCTCCAAATTCCTCACTGATCTTCCCCAACTATCAGTTAAACACCCTTATCATTCCTCTGTCCTAAACTTCACTTGCTATATACAGTTATTTGTTCAAATGTCTATCCCATCATAGAGGAAAGGGCTTACATTTTTCAGCTCTATTTTCCTAGATCATGGGACAGAGTTACACCTAGTAAATGACTACTCTAGAAGGCAATAATTCATTAATGGTCATATTGCTTAAGTTATAGGCCTTAGCTTTTCCAAGTGTACTACAAAGAATACTAAATACTCTACTTCAGTATACTGTTGTGAAGAGAAAACAAACAAACAAACAAAACAAAAAAAACCTATAAAATAATCTTAGAATCCATAAAGCCCCATCATACTAAAAATAATTGCAGTGTACTGAGTACCTACGATGGTACTGTGCTAATTACCATACAGAGATCTCTGCCCTCAAGACGAACATGAGAAAAGCTAAACAACAACAAAATTCAGTTCAATTCCAATCAGTAGCAGAGCTCATTTCATAAGGTGCAGGCTGAACAAGCCCGGTGGACTGTGGAGGAGGAGGGAAAGGGTGACAGCAAGCCATGAGGGGAAGGATGCTTGGCGAGTTAGAGAAGCCTCAGCCAGCTGGGCGGCAAATGACTAAGGGTTTCGGGGCAGAAGCAGAGCCCACTGTACTGTCACCTGTCAGGCAGCAAGAGGAATAGGTTCCCTGTATGCAAAGGTGTGTTCTCTGCGGATCTTAATTTCGACTGGTCCTTGGGAAGATGACTTGACAACCAGGCCAAATGCAGCTGGCAGCTCATGGGGTTCTGTCTCAGCTCAGGGGACCATGAAAGGAAAATATTTCTCTGTCAAGAACCTGGGTCCGGCCGAGACCGGTTTGGCTCAATGGAAAGAGCGTCGGCTTGGGGACTGAAGGGACCCGGGTTCGATTCCGGTCAAGGGCATGTACCTTAGTTGCGGGCATATCCCCGGTAGGGGGTGTGCAAGAGGCAGCTGATCGATGACTCTCTCTCATCGATGTTTCTAACTCTCTATCTCTCTCACTTCCACTCTGTACAAAATCAATAAAATATATTTAAAAAAAAAAAAAAAAAAAAAGAACCTGGGTCCGTAAGAAGTCGTTGTACTTGCTATATGCCAGACAAGGTACTTGGCACTTTTTCTATATTCCCATTTGTTTTCACAAGTCTATGAGGTGGGTGTTTATTTATGTTCCCTACTTTACGAGTGAGTAAATGGAAGATAAAGGAAATGAAGAGGCTAGCCTGAAGTCATCAAAAGCATTGGAGCCAGAGAAACCTAGGTTCACACTATACTGCCTTTTAAGTCTGTGCCTCGAAGGATAGTGAAAATTTTTTAGAGTCTTAACTTCACCACCAGCAAAATGGGGTTAATAACACGTATACCACACAGTTGTGATGCTCGAAGTAATTAATGAAAAGGACAGTATCTGGCTCTTAGTCACCCCAAATCCTCACTGTGACTCACACACTTTTCATGGTCTGGTTTCTGCCTTCATTATCGCAGGCACCATCTCTGCCTATGCTCTAGGCTCACTAGATTTCTCCAGTTTCTTAAACATCACACAGAATGCAACCTCCTGTCACTGCTCCCAGCCCTGGTTACTTTTATTCCTTCCTTAAATCTCAGATTAAACATAGCTCTACCTAGTGTGCTTCTCTGACCTATGAGGGACACTGGGTACCCTGCTATATGCTCCCACAATACCCTTCTCCTCTCCTTTAGTAGTACTCATCATGCTTGACTGTACTTAATCATATAGATCTGTCTCCAACATCATGTCTCAGCACCTCGGCAACACACACACACACACACACACACACACACACGCACGCACGCACACACTCAGGACCATGAGCAGGATGAGAGTAACGAAGTTGTTCAGTCCTGATCCCAACCCGTCCCCATCATCATCATCATTTCACTATATATTATTAATTCATTTCATCATCCAAAGGATCCAATCTGGTGGACACTATTAGCAGCCTAACTTGGCAAATGGGGATACTGAAGCAGAAGAGAAGGTAAATAAAAAGTTGTTAAGACCTCACTGAAGCTGTTAAGACAGCTTGGGTTCATCTGCCTGAACTACTGCCTTGTAGTGCCTTTCACAGTACCTGGCTCATAGTAGGAGCTTAAAAAAGATCTGACACATTAAATGATAAAGGGTAAGCACTTAAGAAATATATGATTTCCATTTTCTCTTGTGGCTTCAAATCCAAAATTCTTTTCCACCTCACTGTAGTAATCTAAATAAAAATCAAGGTCAAACTCTGAATAAAAACTCAGGGACAGAATATGTTCATTAAAACTCAAGCTGTTAACAGTGAAAAGAAAAGAAAACACAGTGATAGCACAAGCATAGCAGAAAGATGTGAGGCTATGTGGACCACCCACAGACCACAGCTCATTGCTTTCATGAGCCTATAAACATGGAATACAGAATGGGGCTGCATTCTTTTTCTGAGCTTAAACTGTTTGCCACACGTTTACTTTTCCATATTTGGCAGAGGTCAAAGAAGCAAGTAGAGAATCCAGAGAACAGCATCTATACTAATAATAGAGGAATATGCAAATTGTCTGGGACGCCATCACAGTAACAGTAATGACCAGCAGGCTGTGTGGGATACCAGGCTGGCAGGGGGGTTAGTGAGGGATGACCAAACGACTGAACAGCAGGCTGTGTGGGTGTGACCAGGCTGGCGGGGGGGGGGGGGGCGGGCAATAAGGGGCAACCAGGCCCGTGGGGGGGGCGGGGGGAAGGGGAGGATTGTTAGGAACAACCAAGCCAGAGGGGGAGGAGGGTTAGTTAGGAGCAATCAGGCTGGCAGGCAGAGGTGGTTAAGGATGATCAGGCTTGCAGTGGGGGGAGAGGGTGGCAATTAGGGACAATCAGACAGTCAGGCAGGTGAGAAATTAAGAGCCAGCGGTTCCGGATTGCAAGAGGGTTGTCCGACTGCCGGCTTAGGCCTGATCCCCGGGATCAGTGACAGTCAAACATCCTTGAGGGGGTCCCAGATTGGAGAGGGTGCAGGCTGGGCTGAGGGAACCCCTGTGACCAGGCCTCTTGAAGGAACCCCTGTGACCAGGCCTCTAGTTCAAATATAACAACCTAAGGAACAGGGCTCTTAAGAGAAGGTTAACAGTGCCCAAATCACGCACCTTCAGGAAAGGAAGGCAAAGAGTTATCTGGTCCAAGTCCACAGGCATCATCAAGTCTCATGTAGTTACCACCTGGAGTGAGCCACAGGTGGTAACTACATGAGGCTCTTCTCCTTTCTATAAGAAATTACTTTAATGCTCTATTGAATTTTTTTAAAAAAAATAAACATCTGGGAGGAAAGTGTTTGGATTTTTTGAAAATGCAGGCTAAGGCTGGATTGTAAACTCCAGGTTACCTGCTGTGGTTACTGTTTTCTTTCTAATAGAAGGCACAATGCTGAGTGAAAAGCTCACATAATTCTCTGGAAACTGCACTCTGAGGAAGCCCTTCTGCTTGGTGAGTAATGCAACAGCTCAGGCATCACCAGTCACCAGGTGATGAGGCAGCTTCCCAGGAAGGGAAACCCATCTAGAAGCAATCAGATACACCCATCCCTAAAGGGGCAGCAAAATCACACCTTGTCTGGAAAGCAAGCCCCTGCCAAGACATGCCACTGGCCATGCGCTACTCTAGAAACCATATATTCTATTACTGATGATGATGATGATAGCTGACACTCAATGTTTATGATGTGCCAGGTTCTGTCCTACAGGTATTCACTCATTTAAGCCTCACAACAATCCTATAAGGTAGGGACTATTATCATCCCTGGATTTCAGAAGATGAAACTGAAGCACAGAGAGGTTATGCTAAACATATACAGCTAGTTAGTCTTAGGACCAAGATTCAAACCTAGACCCATCAAACTCCAAAGCACAACTCCTTCTGAAGTAGATGCCGCTGCCCCTTGCCTCATGCTAATAGCACTGCTCTATCTATCATGAGGGCGGAGGCCCAGGTGAATGGAAGCCCAGCCCCTTTGAAGTACAGTGCTCAAGAATCTCCCCCGCTCTGGAAGCAGCACCCACATTGATAGGTTCACACACTGATTCCAGATCATTCAAGCACTGCTCCTCACTGTGGTCTCTGAGCGCAGGTTTATTTTAGGAGCTGGACCCAGATTGTCCCCTGTATAGCATGCCCGCAATTCCGTCATCATTCATCCATGTAACCAAGTACCAGGCACAGGGCACAGAGACAGGATCATGACTCAGATAAACAAGCAAAACCCCAAATGGCATGATCGCCACAACAGCTCTAAATAAATGGAGATATGCCTAAGGTTCAAAACAGAAAAATTAGACAAAGGAAAGGAAAAAATGAGTTTTAAAAATATATAGGAGCCGAAACCAGTTTGGCTCAGTGGATAGAGCATCGGCCTGTGGACTGAAGTGTCCCAGGTTCGATTCTGGTCAAGGGTATGTACCTTGGTTGCGGCCACATCCCTAGTAGGGGGTGTGCAAGAGGCAGCTGATCAATGATTCTCTCTCATTGATGTTTCTGACTCTCTATCCCTCTCTCTCTCTGTACAAAATCA